GGTCGGGCGGAGGCGCTCCTCTCCGCCGAGGGTCATAAAACTAAATGACTTCAGACTTGGCGGGGGACACGCTCAAGCCCAGCCTCCGAATAGACTGAATGACGCACACCAGGGTGACCTCGGCAAGGCGCAGCGTCTCGTACCACCAACGCCCCCCAGCCAGGACCAATGCGTCGTCAGCATAACACACCATGCCCGTGCCCGGAGGCAGGGGACAGCGAAGGACCGCGTCATAAGAAATGATCCAAAGGATAGGGCCCAAAACGGAATCCCGTGGAACACCTTGCTCGACGGACCATCGCCCTTCGCCGTAACTGCCGGTGTACTCGACCCATCTGCCATCCAGATAGGCCCAGATAATCCAGACAGGATAGGGAGGCACTTTGAAGTGTTCTAGGGCCTCCACTATCTCCTTCCATGGTATGGCGTTGAACGCGTTGGTGATGTCCAAGGACACAGCCAACGCCACACCAGTCCGAGAATGGCCAGCCATGGCCCTCACGCGATTCACCGCGTCCACGGTCAAACCGGGCCCGGAGAGTCTTGATATCCTGCGACATTTTTAACTTATTACTAATTTGAAAAATATAAACGATTTAGGAAAACGAACTTCGCACTTTTTACTAATGTAGCGGCACTCGATAGCAAACTTTCCAACGGTTTCTGCCCCGTGGCTTGCTACACAAAGACCCTATCCTTCGGGTAAGATGATCGCCATATGTCAAAACATCCGCATAGCATATTTTTAACTAACCTAAGGACTCGCTATAAATCTTAGGATTTCTGTAGCTAAGGTCCTTCAAACGAACAAATAGTCTTTGTCTTAACAGTCCTTAAACCTATCATCCACTACGGAGAGATATAGGAAATCTATCTTTCTCACGTACGATGCTTCCCGCTACTTTCTCTCGAAGACGGCTAGCATCGACTGGACTACGATCCAACTCTTATGAGCCACATGAATCACCCGTCTGCGATAATCACATAGCGACACTTGTACTAATCAGCACGTGCAACTTGTGCTGATACTATCACGCCTCGAGTTCGTACTGGCACAGAATTATCTCACGGCGACTTCCTTACGGATAAAATGTATATCGCATACGGTATCGTCCATGTAGAAATCCTTGAGGATGGGGAGATTGGAACGTACGTTGATGGGCTGTAGTTTTCACGAGACAGAAGACGGTACCACATAGATTTCTGATACAACAGTCGTCTGGGTAATTATTTCGACGGGCGCGACTTATTTTCAACATTGAGTTACTAAACATAATTAAAACTAACTTAACGAATGTCTTTAATAGCGTGCGGATGTCCTCACTGTTATATTATCCAAAAATTGCGAGTGGTGGTTCTCTCAGCAACTCAAATTCGCAAACACTAAATCTATAACTTCTATTTGTCTCTACTTGCTCGTCGCTAAAAGGAAATGGAGTTACGAACTGCATAGAATCTTTAACTCTTAACAAGAACTTATATTATAATCCTTGCATTCAATAATAAATAATCCAAGATTCATATGACTATTGATTATTACAAATCCTATATATTACGAGAATGGCAACGCAATGGAAATAGCAACGCACAAAAGGTTGCACAATGAAAGAATAAAAGCTGGTGATACTGGCTGATGATAATGGCTATTGATATAAATTAGCGATAGAAAAACCAAGGGGGTCTAGCGAACATCCCGCAGACCATCGAAACAACCATCAATAACGTAGAGAGTGTCCAGTGTCAGAAAGCAGTAACAGTATTGCCATCTGTGACCTGGGTCCCGACGACACCCCCGGCGATGACCCCTCCATAGGAGCCGACCCATAGTATATAAAACTTCCTAAAATCAGCTCTCGACATTCTCTGTTCTAACACTCTGAACCGTCACTCTGTTGGATTTTTACAATAAATTTTGCTACTATATCTGAAGTTCATTTCTTTACCTTATTTGTGAAACGTTCGCGACGTGAAACTGCGACGCGAAGAGATCACCGGTGATTTGTCAATTTCGTGATTTCTTGTGTCTTCTACACTTGCGTTCGCATCAGGATCAGGGGTGTCAAATACGAAGAAGCGCTAAATACAATGGATTTTAATAATCATATCGGTAAAACAGGAAAATGCCAGTAGGCCGACATCACACTACTGATACTATTGATTAAGACCATTTATGCTGATGACCGATACTATAAACGACTGTGCTGATATTGTAACGCCAATTCACATCAGAGACCAGGCCACACACCGCGGACACGATGGCACCCAGATGTCTGCACATCTTTGGCGCGTACCATCAATAGTCTTAAGTACCCACCAGGGGTCTTGGAATTTTCATAGTTAAGGTCCTTCGGACCAAGCGAGTATTTCCTGTCTTAGATTTCCCTTTACGTTTATTGTCTACCACGTGTTAGCTTAGAAAGTTGTTTTTTTTCACATCTGGTATGTTCCGCTAGCAACTTTCTCGCGAGGGCAGCTAAAACCCTTCCTGGTCCACCAACCGTCTTATTATCCAATCGGAGACGGTGTCTACTGCCCTCACTTCCTTAACCAAAATTGTCATCAACAAATCCGATAGTCCCGTGTCCTTAGAGACACCCATCCCTAGCTTTCCTCAGACACAGTATCGTCAGTAAAACTTCACTTATTCTACATCCTTAGAATAGTCAACATATCTGTATCGGGCTCTACCCTTATAAATCGCATACTTATTGTTGTAACTAAGTCTTACATAACGTGGTTGGAGTGAATTGTGATTTATGTTAATTCAGTGTGTGTTACATTGTGATTGCTGAATTCATAATAAAGTTTAATTAAAATAAAGTTAATAGTTGTGTTACGACTCAGCTATTTTTATTTTCATCAACTAACCCTAAAAATTACGTGACAATATCATGGACAGCGATAATTCCATTTTCCGACAAATCAGTCTCAAGCGTTGCGTCTGACGTTCTTATGTCCGATCATCAAAACTGAAGACAATTTCTCAATAACCCAATATTTTTATTGTTTTATTGATTATTATTTAAGGCTTGAAGAAACGATATATTTCCGAAACGCATTTGGTAAAGAAAAAGTCCACTTTTCCATCTGATAAATATGAAATATGAAGAAATCTTTAGTTATGGAGAATTTAAAGATTATATAAAATAGGTTTACGCTCCTTTAAATACATCTGGTTGCTTGCCTATTCGCTTCCTCAATACTACAGAATCATTATTAATGTATTTTCGATCACTCGCGGGGAGACGCAATCGCGAGGAGAGACGCCAACGGGAGTCGTAAATTCCCGTTACGATTATAGCAATCGACACCACGAATTGATCGATCCCCTGATTTCGCTTAAGATAATAAGGGTGATTCAGTTAGTATAACACTGTGATTCACAGAATTATAAATTATATATTTCCAACACTTAAATTACACTGTGAAACACTAGTGCCTCCGCGAGTGCGACAAGAGTGAAAGAAGGGACGAGCAACAGAACCAATCGAGGATGAAAAACACTCAAAAGATACCAACAATAAGAATACTAAACAAAGGAGAAACATACGCTATAAACAGGGCAGTAGACCAACAGAGCCCAAATAAAACAACAAGTGAAGTACAGGATTGCTTAAATACAAAAGAAATAGAGATGGAAATAATATCAAAAGACGACGTAAAGAGCAATACCAACAAGGATCTACCACAACATAAATGCCTCGACTTTGTGAACTTTGTGAACTCGTTGTTGTTGTGCTCTTTTATTTTGTTTTTTATTTCCTTTGCGAATTTGTTTAGGTGTTTTTTGTTTTCTTTTGTTCTGTGTTTTTGCCATTTTGCTTTCGCTTTTCTTTTTTCTCTAATTTTTTCCAGGATGTCTAGTGGAACTGTTTTTGTTTGTCTGTTGGTTGTTTCAGGTATAGCGGTTGCCCTTGCTGCTTCCAAGAACATACACTCCCAAGCCTCCACCAATCTACATAGACGCTAAAATAATAGACCCC